TTGGGCAACAACTGGATAATCTACTTGTTAATGTTAAAAATAACTAACGAAGTGGAATTCTACAATTGTTGCGCTATTGAAAATTTATCTATAACCGAGCGGGGAATTCGCTGCTGTCACCAGCGGACTGTGACTGAAATAACTCGAAGCACAGGGCGGCTAAGTAAACCTAGCTGTCTCTTATATAAAAAGTAAAATAAATTACAGACAAGTCAGCAAATGGTTTTCTTACCTTATGTCGATAACGCGAACGAGGGTGGTGGAGGGTGTTGTTTATTCTTCTTTTTCCTTAGCGTGGTCAGGAGATGGGGGACAGGAGAGGAATATGTCGATGACGTCCTCTAATAGGTCCTCCTCCAGCTCCATTGGCTCCTCTGCCGGACCAGGTTCTGCTGCTGGTGTCGTTGTTGTGGTTGTTGTTGTTGTGGTTGTTGTCGCGGTGGTTGTTGTCTCGCCGACGACCACCCCCTAACGTCTCAACATGTACTCCTTATACCGCTGCTCGCGGCGTCTCTGTTTGGACGGGGAGTACCATCTAGCCGAGGGCACAAGGGGGGGGGGGNGCTGCTCGCGGCGTCACTGTTCGGACGGGGAGTACCGTCTCGCCGAGGGGGGGGCCGACGACGGCGGACCCGCGCTTTTGGGGGCGCGCGGTCGTCGTGGGGGACGAGGGTTGAGGGCGGTGATGTCAGGTCGCGCAGCGCGAAATGACATCAGCGGTCGTGGACGGGTACTATCCGCTCGCATATCGCGATTGGATAGTAAGGTTGTTGGGGGCCGTACACCTGTCGAGCTGGGGGTGGGTTGCCGGGTCCCAAAATGTTGGGCCGCAACATTTATCACCCTCCTGGTCGAGGTGGCGGCCGGGGTGTTCGGGGCCCGTACCCCCAGTGTGGACTGGGTCGCACGGGGGACCGCAACAAGTGCACTGCGCGCATCGCGGAGTGCATCGTTGCGACCCATGCGGACACCCCGGTCGTAGTGGGCCAGTGCGACGGAGTCGCGAAGGACCTCAGGGAGTGGGGCTCGGGTAGCGTCCTCAGCTGACCGGAGAACCCGCGGGAGAGGTTGTATGGACCGGCCGATCTCATCCGCCAGATGGCGAACGAGCCGGTGTAGGTCCTGTAGGGAACTGTTGGATGGGTTGGGGTCGTTGTTGTTGTTGTTCATGCTGAAACAGATATATATAAAAAAAAAAACATAAATATCGTAGTCCGTCAGCCAGTCTGTGGTCTTACGTGTCTTAGTAATTTGTTTTTCACCTTTTCATACATGAGACATGAATTTTCCGTGGGGGGTTCTGGTCTGTCAAAAACACCCCTTTCCCTAGGCGTTCCGCTAATCTGACGGGACCCCACCACTTTGGCGCAAAACCCGCGCAAAATTTTTCGCTTGCTTTTGATAGGTGATGCGCTTTATAGTAC